TTCCGATCTTATTGTCTCTTTGTTCTGTACGTTTAGTGTTTTTACTTTGATTTCTTTGTTTGTATGTTCTTTAAATTCACTCAATTCTTTTATCAGGTTTATAATTGTTCTTTTGAGTTCCATGTCCTGTGTTATCTCTAGGCAGTTCTCACTGTACTCCCCTAGAGGACTATTGGTACTTGGTGGGGATATATTATTTTGGTTTTTCATGTTATTATTTTTTCTCTGTAACTTTCACATGTGAATTTCTTTTGTAGTTTCTGATTCTTGTGTGAGACTTGAGCCTTCCTTTGTTGAGTTTAGGTCGGCTTCTTTTTGTAAACTTTATGTGCCTTTGTGGTTTACTTGTTGGGCATGAAGAGCTGGTTGGTCTGATTTTATATTGGAGTGGCCAGATTGCTTTTGTCTTCAGGATTTCCCACAGAGGCTCACGTAGATGAGGATCAGATGCTCTCAGGCTTTCTCCTAAGGTCTGGATCCCTCCAGGATAGATTTTGGCCGCAGGAATTTGAGGATCGGACTGGCCAGGGAGCTGGGCCCAGGAAAGATGCTCGTGTAGGGCAGCTGTTGGCCAAGCCACCCAGAGATTCAAAGGAAGATGGGGCCGGAAGGCAGTTCCAAGGGCCCTTCGGGACTGCATTGAGGAGCTGGGTTGGTCCTGATGTGAAGGACCAGGAAGAGGAAAGGTCAGCCCTGGCCTCCAGGAAAGAGGCTGGCAGGTTGTGTAGACCCAGGGAGGCAGAGGGAGGTGAGAGTGGCACCAGCCCCAGAAGCAGTGCTTCTTGGGACCTGAGAAGGAACTGAGTTGCTCTGGATGCACAGGATCAAGAAGAAATAGTGGTGGTTCCCCCCTGGTGTCTGGGGTGCCAAGACAAGGAGTGGGACTGGACCCAGGCTAGGAGGAGAGACCAACGGGGGAGATGGGAGGGTGAGTGAGGCTGGGAGAGTCAAGGCATGGAGGGCAGGATAGACTTACCCTGGAGAGAGAGGCCTATGGGTCAGAGAGACCTTTTTTTTTTTCGCTTATTTTTATTTGATGTGTATGAGCATACTCTCTGCATGTATGAAGGCACACCTGTGTGTGCAATACCCACATAGTCCAGAGGAGTGCATCAGATCCCCTGCAACTGGAATCACAGACAGTTTTCAGCCATCATGTAGGTGCTGGATCAAGCCACAATCCTCAGCAAGAGCGGCCAGTGCTCTTAATCACTGAACCATCTCTCCAGTTCCCTGTACCATTTTCTTAAAAAATAACTGAACTGAAAATGTACAAATTTAAGGTTTCCTCAGTAGTAAATAATCCATAGAAACTCTAGTAAATATTGCTATTCCAGAATATTATTTCCAAAACAAATGCAGTAATGTATTTAAACCACCAAGTATCTAAAAATAGTCCGTTTTCAAATCACAAGCATGCCTGGCTGATTCACTGTGTCGGCCCCATGCAAGAAAGGATACCAGGCCCAGCTGCAGTGCAAGAGTCTAGTCAAATGACAGGCTCTGACTGCTTGCCCCTTCAGGGCCCAGGACATCACTGACCACAAGCAAAGAGCTGCATAGGTGACCCCAGCCCATCTCTGAGCAGTGGGGAGGTGTAGCAGCCTTGACACTTACTTAGTAGCACACCCTCTTGCTCTCCGGCTTTGCTCAGTCTCCTTTGGGCTGGCACACACTGCTATACAGCCAACACCATCTAAGAGCAGTGGCTGTCCCTGCTCAGTACCACTACATGAGCTGTCACCGATCTCACTGTGCAGCAACCCTCTTACCCATGACCTCTTCACAGCATCTGCTTCCCTAAATGTGACCTCAGATAAGCACCCCTCCTTCCCTCTTCAGTAATGTTCTAAGCACTGTGCTGGGCTTGTGCATTCAATCAACTGTTGGGTGCCTATGACAGCTTAGGCCCTGAGAATGTAAAAGACATAGTCTCAGCACTCAAAAAACAACAAACACAAATTCTACCTGATATACCTTTTAAAAATAGTAATAGAGAGAGGGGCATGGTGGAGCATGCTTTTGATCCCAGCACTCAGGAGGCAGAGACAGGCAGATCTCTGTGAGTTCAAGCCAGCCTGATCTACATAGGGAGTTCCAAGCCAGCTGGGGCTACAGGGAGACCCTGTCTCAAAAAGACGAAAACAATAAATAAATAAATAAATAAATAATGATAATAATAA